ACTCCCTGATTCACCCTGTAGATACCTAATACTGTATTGCTATATGGCCATGGGACCAAAACAAGCACAGGGTGAGGATGCAGGACAGGGCCTTCTCAGTGGCTGCTCCCAGATTGTAGAATGCATTTCCTGGATAAGACAGGTTAGTCCCCTGCCTCTTGTCCTACTGTCATGCAATGGATTTTAAGTGATAAACTGAGTTTTATGAATGCTGCATTTACTGAATTCAGGGATTTAAAACCATTGTTAAAGTGTTTTTAATTATGGTTTTAAAAATATTATGCATTTAATATTTTAAAATTGTTATAGCCTATGGTTTTGTTCCTTGTGATTATTGTGTTGTCTTAAGTGATTGTGAGTTGCCTTGAATCTCCAATGAAAAGAAAGGCAGCATATTAAAATATACATACATACATACATACATACATACATACATACATACATACATACATACATACATACATACATACATACCATGTTTCCCCAAAAATAAGGCAGGGTCTTATATTAATTTTTGCTCCAAAAACTCATTATGGGTTATTTTCAGGAGATGTTTTATTTTACAGTCATGTTATCAGCTTCTGGTTGCTGCACAATAGTGGAGGGTGGGATTTCACTTAAGTAAAGTTTATTTTTGGATAATTACACAATTACTCCATCTTGCATGTTGGAACTGAGGGAGATGGAAGAGATCTAAAAGACGGGCAAAGGAAGGAGGGAGAAACCGCAAGATGAATAAAGGTAACGTTTTGTTTTATCAGCTAGTTTTTGCTTTGCTAACCTGCTTGGTCGGGTAGGGGTTAAAACTTCCATGCAGGGCTGAACTGGGAGTGAGGGGAGATGGTCAGGGAAGGGAAGGGGTGACAGGCCCTTCTTTAGTTTGAATGAACTCTGCTCCTTACCTCCATGCACACACACACACACACACACACACATATACATATGCCTGCTTTTGTTGGTATCTAATCTACTGCCTATTGACTACTGGATCTTGAATGTTCTAAGTCATCACATTCACAGCCTGTCAGAATAGGATGACAGCAAAATCAGATACTCTCCCACCTGAGAGTTGATCTATCAGGCAGGTACTTGATAAGTGGAGAAACCATACAGGCAGTATTCTTGTCTGACTGGTTCACCTACACAACAGCTGGGAGACTATCTTATGTACACATGTCCTGACTCATCAAGTGATAGTACCTTTGTTCTGGTTTAAAAGCTAGGAGTTCCCCCAACCTTTGATTCTCAGCCTTTGATTCTCCCAGTGGTTCGGACTTCCCAGCCAGCATAGCCTGCTGATTCAAATCCTAAGTACCTAGAGGAGCAAAATTTGGGACCCGCTCCTCTGTATTCACAATGAAGATTTTTCACACCACATACACATCCACTTCAGTACAACTGCAGCTGCTATCCTCTCACCCACCCTTGTAATATAAACAATTTACTGCCTGAAATAATGTCATAAATCGTATTCGCCACCCCAAAGTTAAAGTGACCAACACGAAATGCTCAGAGCTTGTCCAGGCTAATTTTTCAGAATATGACTCTCAGAACCCCTAGTTGGTTGTGCTAGTCTGAACTCTTGGGAGTTTAATACAAAAAACAGATTTTCAAAGCTCTGCCCTGGGCTAATTAATCTGAGGATTTTTCATGACAGTGAATAACGCCTGCCTTAAAAGCTGCCCTTACTTGCCCTATTGGTGGACCAGCTCAGATAATTTCTCCATTCTCTTTTCAAGCTGCACAGTCTACTTTTGTCAAAAAGAGAATATAATTCTTCACTATCAGCCCATAACAAGTCTTGTGTATGCTTTGGAGTTAAGGAATGATAATGATGATTGATGATGATGATTATAATAAATGTACCATCAAGTCAATATTCTGACTTGCAGACAGAAACTCTTTCTAGGGTTTTCTTAAGTATAGAGTATTGAGAAGTGCTTTACCATTCTCTTCTTCTGGGGATGGTTTGAGACTGCACATCTTGCCGGAGGCTACATGCTGGATCTTCTCCTAGGGCGCACAGCGGGGAATTGAACTCCCAGCCTTTGGCTGTAGAGCTATGTGACTAACTCACTGAGCTATCTAGCCAGCCTCTTTCTGCACAAAAGAGTAGGGAAATATAGAAGGTTTCTCTAAGTGCTCAGTGCGCCACTAACTTGGGAAATTCAGTAATAGGTCCTAATATGGCCGGTGCTTTTTCCCCTTCATTGTCCCCTACCTGATAGGCTGTGGAAAGTAAGTAATATGTGTCTCATTGGGGGTAGCCAAAGGCCGTGAGTTGCTTACCCCTGCTCATAAGCACAGGGCACTGCCAACAGAAGCAGAAGAAAAAAGACCCCATATGGTGTAGTTATTAAAATGGCAGGATTCAGGAAACCTAGTTTGGATCTTAGCTTAGCAAGGAGTTCAACAGATGATCTGGGGCCCATCACACACTCTCAATATGACCTACTTCACAGGACTTTTGAAATAGCAAAACTCTTCTTAGAGTAGAAGATCCGTGCATGTTGCCTTGAGCTCGCTGGAAGAAAAGTCCAGGATATAAATGTAGGGAACACAACACATTTAATTGGTTTATGAATCTTACATTTGGATTTTTTATATAATGCAATGGTTCTTCATTCATTTCTGATTTTAGCTCAGGGTGGTAGTGCTGGAGCACTGGTTGGTGCTCAGTACCATCACAAATAGTGTACTCTCCCAGATATGTGGGGTTATCCCCAGCTTACAGTCTTCATTCTTAGTCTTTCTGTATCTGCATTGACAGCTAGTAGTATGGTATGTCATACTTGACTGTTTGCTACATGAACGGAAAGCTTTGGGCTGAACAGGACTCAAAGCCTCTTTCTCTTCAAGTCTTTCTTCTCAAGTGCAAAGCATTGTTCACAGTTACCTAAAGGTTCTTGCAGAAATAATTGTTCCAGATACCAATTAATAAATATATCCTGGAGTCATCATGCCTCCATGTACATTGTGTTAAAAAAAGACCATTCGGATAGGAAACCATTTACATTAATCTTGAAGGGTTTAGTCTCCCATCACTAGCACATATATTGTTGTTTAGTCATTAACTTGTGTCCGACTCTTCATGACCCCATGGACCAGAGCACTCCAGGCCCTCCTGTCTTCCAGTGCCTCCCGGAGTCTGGTCAGAATCATGTTGGTAGTGGTAATCCCAATCTTAGGCTGACATATGGGACACATGATGTGCTTATACAGACTGAACAAAACCCTTATTTGATTTACTGTTTTGATATTCTGGGCAAAAAGGGAACTGGGAACTATCTTCAGCATCTAGTTTTCCTGAGCCTTGTCAAATTCAGCAGGGAACAAACCACATAAGGAAATGCCAGGGGAGCAGGAAGGTAAGTCCTAAGGAAACACTGGAAGTTGCTTTATATCAGATTGGGCTGTTTGCCCCTTTAGTGCAGTGTTCTCTGCTTTGATTGGCAATCAAAACATTGCTGCATCACTAAGCAGCTATTGCACCTGCTCTTAAAAACTCTGTCAGTGCGCCATCAACTGTATCACATTGGGACTGTGTCCAAGTCTAGTTACAAGGCAAACTCTAGGGAGAGCATGTTACCCCATGCTAGCCAAAGATGGCATGTGGAACATCACAGTCCTGTTCATGTTTAGCCACTTGCTGTCTGGTAATTTCTGACTTAATGGCAACCCTTTTTCAGGATGTTCCAGATACAGAGTACAGTACTCAGTGCAACCCTTTTTCAGGATGTTCCAGATACAAGTACAGTACTCAGTAAAGTAGTTTACCATTCCCTTCTTCTGGAGTTATCCAGTGGCTGTGCAGGTTGCCAAAAGCCACACAGACTGGCTCAGGCACAGTGAGGAATCGAACTCCCAACCTCTCCGTCCACAGCCAGATACCTGAACCGGAGCTATAAATCCCAAAGTGTTTAATGCAGCTAATTCCCCGTTTTCCAGATAAATGTGGCTAGAACCTTTGCCTGGATAAAAGTACAACCTGTGAAAGGTGGTACTTTTATCAAAATGGGAAAGTAGGTGAACCAATGTGGGTGACTGCTGCCCACCTTAGGGATGTGAAGAGTGCTGCGGTTTGATATGCAAGCTGACAGTCCCCGGGCATTCCAGAAGAAAGGAATGGAGACCCACTTCTTATACCTGGAAAGGGCTACCGTAAGTCGAAGTCGACTTGAAAGCACATTATTACAGTATTTTGAATTGTCGTGGTTTATGTCTTTTCTCAACTTTTTGCGAACCATGACATTGGTTTCTAGAATCCTCGTCCTCCTCCTCCTCTTGGAACTGCAGAGCTGGAAGGGATCCTATACGGATCCTCGAGTTCAGGCGCTGTCAAGAAGGCACAGCGGGGAATCAAACTCCCAACCTCCGGCAGCAGGTGCCTAACCTCTCCAGCCGCTCTGTGAGTGACCTGAGGAGGCATGCCGAAGCGCCGACGGGGCGAGCCTCTCTCTCGGGGGACCGAGGATGTTGGCAAAAGCAAAGGAGGAGGGGGGGCACAGCGGGGAATCAAACTCCCAACCTCCGGCAGCAGGTGCCTAACCTCTCCAGCCGCTCTGTGAGTGAACTGAGGAGGCATGCCGAAGGGCCGACGGGGCCAGCCTCTCTCTCGGGGGACCGAGGATGCTGGCAAAAGCAAAGGAGGAGGGGAAAAGAAAGAGAGGAGCGCAGGGCCAAACGGTGTAGCCCTGTAAAGACAAACAGGTCTATTTCAGTAGGAGGGACTCGTGGTCCAAAGCCCACCGCTTCACACATTTAACGGCTACTGCTGTGGGAACGGAGGACGGAGCCGGTTCGCTCAAGGGAAGGCTCTCTGGACACCCCGCTCTCCCGCGGCTCCTGGCGAGGGCGCAACAGGCGCGCCTCAAACGGTGTCCCAGGGCAGGGCTTTTGGCGGCCGGGGGTAGGCGCGGGAGAGGCGGCCCGAAGCCGAGGCCTAGCTTCGCCCTCCTCTTCCTTGACCCGGGAGGGGTGGAGCCTGGGAGCCGCGTCGGCGAAGGGGGGGAAGGCGGGCTAAAAGCTGACGGCAGCCGCCCGCGCCAGCGCTTCTTCTTCACCCGGGGCACCCGGTTGGAGTCGCTTCGCGGGCGCGCGTCGCACTAGCTGGGGTGCGGGTGCTTTTTCCGTTCCCGCCAGGTAAGACTCCCTGGGCGCTGGGTTCCCCCGGTGCTGGAGGAGGCCGTGCCCTTCTCGGGTGCTGACGCTCCCGGTTCCTGAAGCTTCGGGAACGGCCTCTTCTTCTCCTTTCTCCGCCTTCCCTCCCTCGGGGGGCCACTGAGGAAGCTGCCTTCCCCGCCGCCGCCACCCTCCTGCCTTGACTCGGGGCGCTTTGCTTCCCAGCGGCGCTTCGTGACGGCGCGCAACCCTTGGCCGGGCGCAAATCCCGCCAACCCTTTACTCTCCAGTAAACTCTGCTAAAGTTCAAGGGGAGGGAGGGTAAAGCGGGTGTTGGAACCGGACCTCGGACCGCGACGCAGCTGTCACTCCTTGGAAGAAAGAGGTTTCCTTCGGGGACCGATCCCGGTGCCGGTTTACTCAGATATCAAGCCTGATCGAGGCGCAGGAGGACCGGCCGAGGAGAACAAGGTTTACGGAAGCTTCGGATCTTTTCCATACGCAGTTTATCCATTTCTTGCCACAACCTCGGTATTTGCTCTAAAGGAGGCCCACTGCCACGATTAAACAATACTGCCTTTATATGATCGTGCACTAACGTTGCCTTTAAATCCCGAACCCTTCTACTGCTCACATATTATATGATGGAGAATAACTTTTTTTGAGTGTGAGGCTTTCCGTTAAACTTTAGGGAGTCTTTTTAAAGGAATCACCGTTAAGATTCGCCTGCCGTAATAGCTGCTTACAGTCCCATTTATTTAAATGTGATTTTCCCCCCCTTCCGATATGGGTTTCTTCAAATTGCAGCCATATTGTTAATTAAGTTCTACTTGCCTCTGGTTTGGCATGGAAAGCTTTCTCAAGACTCCGTGCAAACACATTCACATTCACATTGTTTTAATGGGTGTTGAGAAGACAGGACATAGTGTTTGATCAGGAGTGTTTTCTCTCCTCCCAAGGCTGATTTTGCTCAGCACTCTATACCAGTCTGCGCTCCTTATCAGTGTTTTTTTTTTTAAAAAAAAATTCAGATTACAGATTTCCTCCCTTCCCCCCTCCTTTCCCCTATTTATACTGTTTTTCAACAGGAGCAAAGTTCAGTGCTGCTTTCTTAGGGCTGTTTCCTTTTTCTTCCTTCCTCCCACTAAAACTGTTACTCTTCTCTTTCTTTCTCCCCCCCCCCCAGCTTTGTGGGGATCTCTCTCTCTCTCTGACTCTCTGCTCGAATCAAAACAAAGTGTACATGATACGGGTTTTGTCTTGTTCAGCATTAAGTTTCCCTGGACATACAAATTTTCTCTTGACTGCAGAGTATGTGGGGTTCTCTTGAGGTGTGCGAGGGGATCTGAAGGAAGATCTCTTGGGGAGGGGGCTGTCACATCACTCTGCTCCCACTCTCAGTCAGGAGAATATTAGAAAAATCAGGGAAAGGTGTTCTGGACCATTCTCAGTTAGCATAGCCAGTAGAGTGAGGAATGCTGGGAATTGCCATCCAAGAACAGTGCCAGGAACACAGATTGCCTACCTTTCATCTAGTTGCTCCAACTTAGAACTTTCTTCACCACGAGTCACTTGAGTTTCTCTCTTCCAATTTCCCTCACCTTTGAGACTCTAGGCACAAAAGTTCAGCTACTGTGGTGTTGTTCCCACTCTCCTGCTTGAAGTCAAGTGGAATGGCACTTGGACAGCTATTCATGCTGATTTTTCCTGGGTAATTGTCAGATGTTCCATTTTAAGCATTGATTCATTAACTACATTTTTATACTGTACTAGTGTTTCTCGAAGGGGCTTAATACAGTTCTCTCCCTACTCTACAAACAATTATGTTATCTTCACAACAACCCTGTGTGGTGATGATCAGGAAGATGGCAGTATTTTTATTTATTGTCATTACTTTGCATCCTGCCTCTCCTCTGGATAGCTCAAGACTGTGTACGTAGCTCTCGTTTTCTGCACCTTGTACTCACAACAACCCTGTGCTATAAGTTAGATTGTGAGAGAGAATCAGAGTGAATGAGTGACTGACCTCAGGCCATTCAGTGATGTGTTTGGTTCATTGGAAACTTGAATCTAAATCTCTCAGTCCTAGTCCAACATTTTAACCAGTCCATCACACTGGTGGTCACAGTCATATCTTTGTTTGGGTTTATCATTGCCATGTCCATATTTCAAGGGAAGACATATTCTGGGACCTGTCACCATTTCCAAGAATAATTCTTCCACATTTTTGGGTTGTACAACTGGTGGCACTGATCTCGGAAGAAATCTAGGGCAAGATTTGGCTGATTCCCTGGTACGTATTATTTGGAGAAAAGGGGGAAACTCTTGATTTTCAAATGGATTTTGAATGAGCTGGTCTACAGGTGTAGGGTTGATTTTCAAATTACAGTAGTTTAATTTGGTTTTCAGGCAGGAGCAGCTTAATCGTCTGAGAAGTGAACTTTATACTTCAAAGTTAAGTTCAGTGTGTCCGCTCATCATTTCTGTAGAGGTTTGTCATGGTAGTCTGTCACAGAAAAAAAAAGGTGAACACTTTTGTGACCTGGTTTTTTGTTTGTTTGTTTGTTTTATAGCCTAGCCATTCTCAATCTTTGGGGTTTGTTTGTTTGCTGTCACAGAAAAAAAAAGGTGAACACTTTTCTGACCTGTTTTTTGATAGCCTAGCCATTGTCAATCTTTGGGGTTGGTTTGTTTGTTTTTTGGCCAGGGCCATAAACACAATGTGAAAGGAATATAGGCTGAATCAGGACTGTTTAAATTGCATAGAAATATAGGCTGAATCAGGATTGTTTAAATAGCACAATGAGCCTTGTAAGGTGGTGTGTGAAGAATTGTTTCCAGTCTGTGGCCTCCTTCAAATGTGTTACGGGGCATTTGGCTCCCATTGAGAATGGCTGGTAGGGTCCATTCTTACCCTACTTTAGCAGGCAAATATACATGTCTGTAGAAGGGATACAAGCACTGGGATCAGCTAGTGAAAGCCAGTAATCAGTCTAGGGCCATGCTTTCTTTATGAATTTAATCAACCACACACAAATATTGTGAGAATAAAATATGGAAATGGAAGCTCCCATTCATTGCTTTGAATTCAAGGGAAGGAAGATGTTAGAAATAAATAAGCAGCTATCCTGACCTTACTCTGCAGCCATATATACAACTGTGTGTATGTGCATATCTGTAAGTGTGTGGGATATAAATTCACCTATTTTGTGAAAGGAATATTAATCTGTTTCCCAGATGCCTAGAAACTTTTTGTTGTTGCAATCCCAATCTGAGATCTGTATATTTGCTGTATGAGGTTTTGTCATGTTGTGACCAAAAAGGACAATGATCTGCCCTCTTTCCAAAACATGAGCTTCATGACACAAATTGTTTTAAATTGTAATGCTGCGGTCATAACGCTGCTCACAACCTGAGTTTGATCCCAATGGGCTCACAGATAACCACATGAGGTTGACTCAACCTCCTGCCCTTACGAGGTTGGTAAATTGATTATTCAACTTGCTAGGGGGAGGCATTGTGTATCCTGTATAGTTAAATTGTAAGCTTCCCAGAGAATGCTTTAAGCCCTGTGGGGTGGTATATAAGCAGTACACTTTGCCCGCCTTGCTTGCTCCCATCATCTTTATGTATCTCTTTCATAATACCCAAGTGAATGATTGTGTTATTTCCTCATTCTCTATCTTGGTGTGTTAAGTGAAAGTTCATAGTTTCAAGGAGGAGGAGAAGCAGTAGCTAGCAAACAGAGGAAGATGTGGAAAAATATGAAATATCAGTATAGCCTCTCTTCTTTGACTGGCACAGATTTTGGAGCTGTAGATGATTTCAGTGCTAGCAGTCACAAGACATTGTAAAACTGTTCCATATTCTCCTCCTTAACTGATGTTCTGTGATGGGAAAAAGGCACGGAAAATAATACAGAAAAACACATAAGGGGATACAAATACAGTAGAAGATAGTGGTAGCGGGGCCCTTCCTTTGTATAAAATTATCTGGAATGAGGCAGGGTAGTTAGACAATGAAAACCTTGTCTGGAAGTACCTAGGGTGTCTGTCACATATTGCTTATAGCATTGAGGTATCTAAATTTAATGGAGTTTAAGTGAGAGCCAGAGTGGTGTAGTAGATAATGGAATCAGGAGACCTGGGTTCAGTTTCCCACATGGAACCCCATTGGAGAATGGCATGAGTAATCTTTCATACCTTGAAAACCCTGCTAGGATCACTGTAAGTTGCAACTTGATGTCAGATAACAACAATAGATGGGAGCATGGAACTAGAGAGGATATATATATAGTCTTGGAAATTATTCAGGAAAAGACATAAAAATCAGAAACTGTCTAAAAGAAGGAACCAGAAAAGGTGTTTTGGGGAGAGAGAACAGAAAAGCCGACAGATAAAGAAGTTGGTTTATAAATAAGAATTTATATAAAATATGGCAACAGTGTGACCAAGACCAGGTGTAATCCTTTGTTTACCCACTCCTTGTTTGTTACATAGTGAATAATATTACAGTGGTACCGCGACTTACAAACTTAATCTGTATTGGAACAGCATTCGTACCTTGTAGGATTTTGAGCATAACCTTACTAGCATGTGGAATATCTAATTTTACAAATGCTTTAATTTTTTTTGTCAGAATATTTTAGATAAAATTACTGGGGAAAGTAAAGTTTTGAAGGAAGGCATGAAGTTTTCATGTTTATTAGAAGAGGCATGTGTTTTAAAATGTTGCTGATGTGAATGTTCACTCCTTGATTGTTCCTAGAATGAAGATGTAGTAGGTTTCTCTGAATGCAGAATGAAACTAAAGCTGGAACAGCTTAGCTTTGAAACCTTTGTAAACATTAACTCGACCTTCTGCGAATCTTCCTTACTTATCCTTGAATGCTATTGAAAGAGGAAAGTAAGTTTAAAGTATGATTTCTCCCTTGTTCCCCTGCCTATCATATTATGCTTTAAATGCCCCTCTTTGGCTTATTAGTTCTAATTTGAGTCCTGCCACCACTGTACCCTCTGAAT